AGGGAGAAATGTAATTAATATACAATCTCAAAGAAAACCCACAAGGAATAATATATTTATATATAATTCTTAGGTTCAAACTGGGCTTTAGAACACCTAGGTTGCCATATTTCTGCAATTTTTATAATAACTGCCTTTTGGAATTGATTTCTGCTTTCCTTGGTGATAATATCTAGTACATTTTCTGTCATGTATTTTGTTATAGTTTAAGGACTGGCATGCCCATGGTAACTGAAATGGCTGGATTAAGGTTTACTTACATTTTATTGAATTCTGCCAATAAGAGTAACCTAGCATCACACAAATAGAATTGATAGAATGTTATCTCTTAGAAGGAGCAAATATTTTTTGTTTGTATTATGAAGGGTAAATTAAGTGAAATAAGTGTGTGATATGATTTTGAGAGCCACTTTACTTGTCTTTGAATATTGTTTATAGTTCAACTGCATATTGGCATTCTATCAATGCATGCTCTCTTTTGTCATCATAATTTAATTTTGCACTGTGGATTCTTATGATGTAGGTCCCCAGGGAATTCCTAATGGCCTGTGAAACTCATGGATCCTTTCTATATTTATTTTAATAACTATTTTAGGGAAGATAATTTATGAATGCATCACTTAGTTCAGAAGATAACTTGAGACCTAGGAATTAAGCAAACTGAATATCACTGAAAATATATGTGTTTATTTTTAGCTGTAAGTACATTATTCCTCTATACAGTTTGACCATGGAAATTAGTCCTCAGTGGGATGTTCATTCAGTTGCTGCAGCACACACACACACACACACACACACACACACAGAGAGAGAGAGAGAGAGAGAGAGAGAGAGAGAGAGAGAGAGAGAGAGAGAGAGAGAGAGAGAGAGAGAGAGAGAATCAGCCATGGTGTGGTCAGTATAATGTAATCACAGTCTTTATTTAGGAACTTCCTCCTTTGTGGCACTTGTGTGGGAACCAGATCAGAGCGTCTTGAGCTGTGTTTCTGTAAAATCACTGTGTGTTCTTTGAAATCTATTCTAGTGTGCTAGCTGTATCCAAACCTTGTGTTTGGACCATGTCTTTCCTAGAGTGACTGATGTCAGGATGACTCGGAAAGATAAAGCAAAATGAAACAAAGGAACAATAAAACTCCTCAGAGTAGTTTTGTATGTACAATGAAGTCAGGAAAGGAGACCACTTGAAGACTTGGATACAAAGGCACCCACCATGGCACATTTTATGCATCAAAATTACTTGGGAGCTGGAATGGCTTTTAAAATAAGGGTAGAAGGCTAGAGAGATGCCTTAGTGGTTAAGAGTGCTTGTTGCTCTGCCAGAGGCCATCAGTTTGCTTCCCTTTACTCAAGTCGGGGGTCCACAAAAATCTCTGTAACCCCAACTCTAGAAAAATCCAATGCCTCTGTTCTCTTGAGGTACCATATTCAGGTGTAAACACCCACATACTGGCACACATACTTACTTGTAATTAAAACTAAATTTAAAAAATGATAGAGAACTCAATATACACCAATTGAGATAGTGCCTTGTACATTATAATAGGACGTTCACTTGTTAAAGTGTGTGAATAGTGGACGAGTATTAATGTGAGTGGAGTGAAGGAATACTGGATTGATATACTGGCAACATTGGTGATATAATGCAGTTATAGATCGTGTAGGTAAATTCCTGTGGGGCAGGAATGGATGGGCTAATTATGATGTTTGACTAGATGAGAGAGGAAAAACAAACCAAAGCATGAACTAGAAAAATTTCATGATCTATTTGCAAATCTTTTTTGTCTTTTTGATACATTACATTTGTGTGGGATGGGAAAGCATGGTGCAAGAGGATGTTCAAGGATACTTGATTTGTGTTACTGGGAGAGAGCTCAATCAGGAGCAGGACATAAATTTGGCTTTCAGACATATTGCATTTATGATTTCAAGACCTCAATATGGGATAGTGGATTAAATATTTGACCTGAGTCAGAATTTCAAATGTGGGGTATTGATCTGGGCAATAGATAAACTGGTTGGAAGTCACAGGTTATTGATGATTATAAATTGTAGCTAAAGCATAGATAAAAGTCCTTAGAATTACATACAGATAGACAATTTTGAAATCTTTCTTCTAGAAAATTTCTGTTTAAATTAGTTTCCATGTTTAGTGATTTGTATTTACCTACATTTGGGGAAGTTGCCAATTATAAATTTCTTTCAATGGTTTTCAATATAGATTATTAACAAGGAATATATTTCAGTTAAAAATAAAACATTACATTCAAGGAAAGGAGGGTGTGAAATAATCAGTAGGAATTCCTTTACTCATTTGTATATTAACTTTAGTCCTAGTAAGTATATAAATAAGAACAATCCATGTTACATACTCTTGTGTGGGAGTAAGGCATATCATCCAGAGGGAGAAATGTGAGCAAAGTTTCAGAAGCATAAAAAGCTTGGAAGTTCCAGGGAACTGTAAAATTTAATATGGATGAATCTGTGGGTGATTTTAAAATTGAGAGAGAAGCAGTCTAACTACAGGCTAAACTAGTAGCCAGAGTTAAAATCATGAATCTTCATGTAATATAACTGTGGGCTTGGATTTCATTCTCTAGACAACAAGAACACAGAAATTTAGAAAGAACCTTGTTCTCCAATATGTAAGATGATTCAAAAAAGAAACCATCCAAATCAGGTGCCAGTTGTAAGACATCTTTAATGATTTAAGTAAAAATCATTTTAAAAAATCGTATGTTAAACTGAGCGGAATGTCAGGAGACATTGCTATAAACTGAATTTGCCCAATGTTATCACAGGGACTAGGAAAATGAGTCGTAATCATGTATGTACTGATAGGAACAATATTATCCTGTAAACTAAAAAGTAATCTGACATCACTAAACTCAGTTAAAACTGGCCATATGGAGAAATCTGAGTGCCTCGGAAAGTCTGGTCATCCTATACTTCTCCAAATCCATGCTCTTCCTGCTGCTCCATGCTGATTGGATGGAATGAGCAGTTGATGAGTTGATGCATAATTTGGAAATTTTCTTGCAAGAGCATGGATACCCTCTTTCAGAACACCCACATCATGGTGCTCTCCCTACTTCCATTTCCATTCTGTTTGTTGCCAACTGCCCTGGGAGCCCAGAGCAGAACAAAGCCAAGAGGGAATGTGGTCAGTGTCTGAACAGCAGTCTGGTGTGTCATACTTTGGAATGACTAGACAAGCTCTTCCTCCTTCTCTGTGAGAGCTTCTGTGGCCTTGCTGGGGCTTTTGGCTGAAAATCCCTCATGCAGTGCCTCAGGCTAGCTTCTCAGGGTCAGATAAAGATCTCAGGCTCCTGAGGTCCCCATCTGTTCCAGTCCCCTGTCACCTCAGGCACACACCTCTTGAGGGAAAACCACTTAAAAAGAGATCAGTTTCCCCTCCTTATTTTCATATCAAATTTGCTCCCAAAAAATTATTGACATAATATAAGCGATTGTGGGTTGTTCTTAGCCTGTCTCTCATTTTTTTCTTTCCTTATTTTTTCCTCATGGGTTAGGCATGGGCTAAATGTAGCTTCTAGTTTGCATGAAACTACGTGATTCCTCTGAGTCCTTTTCACTTAGCGTGACGTGAAGAGAAAGGCATCCTTTCACTTATAACATTTATTTCCAGAAAAGATCTCTGTGTGCTCCCATCCCCCACGGGCTCCCTCCCGTACCACATTGGCTGTAACATGAGGGAGGGTTATGAGCTAATATGACAAACATTTTTAGCACCTTAGCACCTAGAAAATTGATGATCTAGCACAACGCCTTTGGGGTAGGGACATACCTATACACTGCAATATACTGAGCCACTGCAACCCCAAGAAATATTGAAAGCTTCTCATTTATATCTAATGTTATATGATAATTGGAAAATGTGGGCAATCCAGATTTCTAATTGCTTTTCCAATGCATGGATCTCTTTATACCTTAAAACGTTTGAGGACATTCTTAGGATTTGCCATTCAATATTGTATTGCTCTCTAAGGCTGGTATTTCACAAAGGAAGAGGTGGCTCTGTCATCCAGTTCTGAAGTTTAAAAGTCCTTTATGAGGTAGTTGGATGTATTTGACTTTTTCAAGGCCCGTGTGTTGGCTCATGTTACATTAAGGAAGTGTGCATTGGAGAGTGTAAGAGGTCAGACAGGAAGCCAGGAATGGTCACATGCCAGGGTTGATCTGATTGTGAAAATCTTCCCCTGCTGGAACTCACTGGAATCCCACAAACACAATATTGATCCCCTGCAAAGGTTACCCCCCTTACAAGGAGCCTTAGACTCATTTCTCCCATTAAGTCTCTATACAGAGGATCTAGCTTTTAGTACATGGCACATTCAGACCATATCCAAATGCGAAATATCAAGGTCAACTTCATGGGCATGCCATCCATGTAATGACAAAAGGTTCCACAACTGCAAGATCTCTGTAACTGTTTTAATGCTCTCATAGCTTCCCTTGAAATTGTTAAGAGGCCCCATATATTTGTTATTCTCTGGGCCCTGTAAATTATGTACTCAGTCCCGATTAATTTCACATTACAGACTGGGAGATTAGAATATACATGATTCAATGGCTCTTTAAATTTCATTAAACTTAAAAAAAAAATACCAGTTGAGTGTAACAAACAAGCGTGATTTACAAAGGACGTAAGCTGCATTACCGTGTGCTAGTATAGCTATGATCATGGAAACAAATTGTGTCAGTTTATTGTAAGGTCCTGTTAATGCACTTTATTTACTAGTAATTTCTTTTAGGACGTATTATAGGATTCAAATGTTATATACACTCTGCCTGGTCTACTTTGGTTATTTACTTTAGTTCTAACATTACAAAACCAAAGAGCATAATTCTGCTTAAAATTAATTTAAAAGCTATTACTGCATTCATATACAGATCTGTTAATAAAAGCGTTGGTATTACTAGAGGAATTTTGAGTCCTAGTACTTCTCTAACTTTTGCTTTTATTCAATATTTATTTGTAGGGAAATATCTGGGAACAGATTTTAAGAATCCCATTCATCTTGGAAATAATCAATGCGGTCCCCTTCATTATCTCAGTAAGTCTAAGCCTCTTAAAGAGTGTTATTTGTCATTAGATTTTAATAAATTCTCTAAGTATAAAAACTTCTACATAATATAAGAGACATGGATTCAGACTTTGAGTAGAATCTGGCTCCTTAAAAAGAATAAAGTCTGGATGATAACTGAATTGCATAATTAAATGAAATCTAGTAAGTTTCAGTACAACAGCAAAGGGAAACCTTTTAAACAATTATACAGTGTATGTAGAGTTCTCATTTGAATAGATATTAGTATTGTTTGAAGATCCTCAAAATTACATTATTTATACTGTGGAATTTTCAAAATAGAAACTAATAGTATGAAATATTTACCACAATTCTCCTACTGAGAGCATGCTCATTTCTAGTGAGCATGCTCAGGCTCATTTCTTTCTAATTTGTTTATAGAATTTGTCCACTTCAGTTCCTCATTAGTAGGAATGTGAATCAGAGCCACATAGCCAGCTCCTCCTCGATGTTCTGAATTTACCCTCCTGCAAAAACAATCCTATGCTACGGTCACTCTGTTCCACACATACGCAACCCTGAGTATGCCATTCGTAAGAGTAGGTTCTAATATCATTTTGCTATAGCAATGATTATTGGAATTAGAACTGTTTAGACTTTATTTGGTGATAAAAGAAAGATAAGTAGATATTATCTGGAGCTGCTCCTCACTTGCATTTTAATTTGAGTGACTTATCTACAGAGAGAGTTAGAACTAGATTAAATGACAAGCTTTCTAAATATAAGTCCAAATGAATGCAGCTTCTCAACATCATTTAAGTGGTTGAATTGGAAGACAGGGATACGTTTCAAAAGACTCCTCTTGTACCTCTTTACCACCTGAGGTGGAGGAACAGCAAAGTAAAAAACACATTCTGAGATTTAATAATAGATTCAGCATGGTTACGTCTGACATCTGTTGAAGCCTCTTACTTTGTGCTTCAGTACTAATTTCTCCAAGAAAGATTTCAGCAGTGAGTGAAAGACCATCCATTAGTGTTGATTTTAAAGGATTTGGTACTGTTTTACATCTTTTCTTTCTTTCTTTTTAAACTTTTATTCTGTTTTATGTTTCTTTTTAATCCTCTAGATACAATTTCTTGCTATAAGATTAAAGTTGAGTTTTCACTTATTTTTCAGATATTCTGGCCTACCTTAAGGAATCTATTTGTTCCAGTTTTTCTAAACTGTTGGCTTGCCAAACATGCCTTGGAAAATATGATTGTAAGTAATAAAAGTAAAGTTCAAAACAAAAATATTTTTCAAGCACCCACTATGTCTTACTTATTTTCAATGTTTCACTAGAAGCAGAAGATTATTTGGCTTTTAGTTTATTCCTTTGCCATTGCATCAACCCCTATAAATTTACATAACATACAGAATTTGTTCAATTTCAAGGTTATTGAAATTTTAAATGTGTTAATTTTAAAACTTTTACTGTAATTAACTGTCTCAAAATAGTTTTATTTAAATGTTTAGTGGTAAACTACTGCTAAGTAATTAATGTACTATATAGATTACATAATTAATTAGTACATCATGTTTAATAAAAAGTAAGTGATTAATTTACTATATCCTGATAAGAATGAAAATCTGGCCGGGCAGTGGTGGCGCACGCCTTTAATCCCAGCACTTGGGAGGCAGAGGCAGGCGGATCTCTGTGAGTTCGAGGCCAGCCTGGGCTACCAAGTGAGTTCCAGGAAAGGCGCAAATCTACACAGAGAAACCCTGTCTTGAAAAATCAAAAAAAAAAAAGAATAAAAATCTGTAAAATGCATGTGTTGCATTCCCTAGGTATTGAAGGGTTCGGTTACAGATAAAGAAAATGGTTCAGGCTTTTTGAAGTTATCAATCTCTAACTGCTTTTTACACAGGTCCAAATGTCTGAACAATCCCTCTGAACAGGCGCACTCTTCATTTTTAAGGCTATCTGTTTATGCATATGTAGTTGATAGTTTAGAAGCCTTAGTTTTTATGGCTTAGGGATGTTTTTGTCTATTATTAATGGTGAATAATTTCAAGTTTGGTAAAAATGTGGGAGTTTGTGAGGCCCTTTCAGAATGAGTAGCTCCTCATTTGTGATCATAGACTCAATGGTGTTGAGCTGAGTGGCAGATCTAGTCCCCAGGGCTGATGGAGAAAGACATGCAAAATTCACGCTCTCCTGTAGTCGTCTTCCACATCAAAAGTTGACGTTCTGCTCTTTGGAAGGAATTATTTGTTCCTATGACCTGAAAGTGCTCACCATAGTTTTTCATTACTTACAAGCAAGTTGGAAGGCATTCATTAGTTAGGCATTCTTTATTCAAATGCTAATGTGTATCTGGAATAAGGCACTTTGCTGTGACCAATATCTGATGAAAAGCAACTCAAGGAAGGAAAGATTTATTTGGTTTCCTATTCCAAGGACTACGGTGCACCACAGAAGGGAAGGCATTGTATCACATCAGGGAAGGCATTTTAGCAACAGCAAGGAGTGCTGCTGGTCACTTCCTGTTTTCGAGTCAGAAAGCAAGAAAGTGTTTAGGAAGTGGAACCAGACACTAAAATCCCAAGGGTTACAGCAAGGTTGCACTTCCCAAAGTTCTCATAACTCTCCTAAACACTGCCACCTGCTGATCTCCAAGTGTTCAAACACAGGCCTCTTTGGAGGCCTTTTACATTCAAACCACAACAGTCTGTCTTTGGGCCCACATAGGCTCATGACCTCCTCGTAAGGTAAAATGTATTTGTTCCCATTTCAAAAGCCCCTATTTGTTTTATAGCTCCCACACAGCTCAAAGTCCAAGCTCTTCTGAATTCTGAAGCAATTTCTCAACTGCGAGCCCCTAAAAAATGTTAGCTATTTTTAATATGCCATGTCAAATAAGTATTTCCCAAAGAATTATGGCCATAGAGAAGAAATATTTACCAAAATAAGACCAAGGCTAGCATGGAAAATGTGAAATCCTGAAGCTTCGTGTCTAACACCTAAGGCTTGTGCTATAAATAGCTCAGTTCAAATAATAACACTGATATTAATGGCTGCTACCTGTAGCACACATAGCCTCTCTCCTCTCTCTTTAGCTGGTCATTACAAGTCTACAGCTTTCCTTAGCAGACATCCCAGGGTCTGGCCGTCTCTTTTATTGTCATTTCTCCACTGCAATCTAGATACCACTGTTATAAGCTTCCTTCAGTGGCCTCTCATGACCTCCTTGCAAAGACTCCATTCCTGCCATGCATTTCCTGGCCTCAGTTGCCCTTTAAAATTGGGGTTTGAGATTATGTGACCCCTCAATCTTGCATCTTTCATGCTTGTAAAACCACTACTATTAATGAGATTGCCAATTTTTGCCTTCTCTAGGCTGGGAAGGCAGCTGCTTTGTGTGCTGACCCTGGTGAGAGCACTTGTTTGCTCTTTATGGTGCTAATCTGTTTAGCAGTTACAGCTGTTCTTCAGCACCCTTGCCTTCAACTTGAAGTTCATTTATTCTACCGTCAAATGACATATTAGAAAGAATACATCTTTCTGCTCCAGATGTTGCTCTTTCTCAATGAAACCTATATGAGAAGAGTCGATAGGAACAGTGTCACAGCCTGAATATACTCCTCTCTTGAACTTTCCTATACTAAGCATATTGGTTTATTGAAAACTCAGCCTCACTAAAGTTATCGGGGCATAGGCAACATGCTTCTAGATTTCTTTTGAGAATACCACACCAATGGCCTTCAGCCCTATTCTCTATAGAGTTCTTGATCTCCTCTGAAGTCTTGTGAGCTGAGTCTCTGTTCTTCCACACTGCTACCAGAAAAGCCCATTAAGTTCTGCTTAAAATATTTTGAAAATTCTTAGGCCCAGAATTTAAAGCTCTCCCACAATATGTTTTCAAACTAGCATAAGGGAATAATATCTACATTATCTGCTTTATCACAACAAATCCACTTTGGAGTACTCATTTTTTTCTGCTTCTTTTGTTGTTACTGTGACCAAACACCTGAAAAAAATTAATGAAGAAAGGTTTTATTTGGCTCATAGTTCCAGAGGCAATCATGGTAGAGAAGCTATGGCAGGGCAAAATATACTAGTCACATTGTTTTTGTAGTTAGTAAGCAAGGAGTCAGCAGGAAATGTGATTGAGCTATAAGTCTCAGAGTCTTCAGTGATCGATTTCGTCAGGAAGCATATATATTCTAAGTATTCCACTATTGGGCTGGTCAGATTATCTGTGGGTGAAGAGTACTACCACCAAGCTTGAGAACTTGAGTTCTGTTCACATGGTTGGAGGAGAGACTGAACTGCAATTGTCCTCCAACTTTCACACAAGGTCCACGATACCCACATGCGCTCATAGAGGGTCCATGGTATCTTCATACACACACACCACACACACACACACACACACACACACACACACACACACACACACACACACATATCCTCTTCACACACACACAGGATATGAATTTTAAATACAAGAATAAGGTGTCCACAACTTTTGAAATTAGTATACCAGTTGGGGACTGAGTGTTGAAACACATGAGTCTATGGAGACATTTTACTTTAAAGCCACAGCTGACCTACTTTATATATACTGGGCACTTTAATTAACATCTGATTTAATTTCTGTGCTATTGTCTTCATCTTAAAAAAGTAAAAGTAATCTAGTTGCAAACTTGTTGTGAACATAAAGTGTAATCACACAAACACACACATATGATACGTAAGATACTGTGTCTGGTGTGTGCAAGGTTTTGTAATGTTGATTGCATTTCATGGAAAATTACTCTTGTTAGTATTAGCACTTGTTTTTCATTTAAATGACCTTTAAGCAGGCATTATATCAAAAGCTTTGGCCAAAGAATTATTAGAATAACATTTGAGCATTTACAGCAGATGAGTGTTTCTAACTACTTATGTGAAGTAACCCACGATTCCCAGGAAAGCACAGGGCCAATGGGAGGGAAGTGTGGGCGAACATGGCCTGTGGAGTGCCTAATGCTGTCTTCCTGGCCCCAAAGAATTACCTTTTGACTGAATCAACTGCTAATGAAAAATGCACCCAGAATCAAATAAACCTCTGTGAGTTGCTGTATACTTAGCAACCCCTCCAAGACAGGAACTATTAGTCAGTATTCAAGAGAGACTGTTTACAATATTGGTTCAGGACTCACAGCCCATTGCTGTTCTGTACTTAGCTTTTCCAGCTCCCACTGAATGTCGAGTCCTAGATTATTTTTCTGATCATTAGCCCATCTGCTCTGAGAAACTAAAGAGTAAGAGATGACATTCGGGCCAGTAAACTCTGTTATTTGTTTTCATAACATTTCTGGCTTAATGCACTACCAAAAACTAAAATAATGAACTGAGATCATTTTCTTAGTGACATTTATTTTCTCATGCTCCCCTGATTATGAGATGGATAAAAGTGAATCATTAAAAGTTTGAGACTAACAGAAAATTGTGAATAAAATATAAAAAATTCTGGCATTTGAATTCAATATTTTTAATTATTTCCATACTTTATTTGATACATGCACACAAGTCATAGTTGAAATTAACTAATTCAATTTTTTATTTGAAATTGTCACATACTGGTAAGTAGTGGGTAGAGTGCTATATTATTAAATACTTCATTGTAACAATATTTAATTGATATTTCTTAAACTATCATTCAGACACACCATTTTTAACTATTTTCAATTGCATATTTTTATTTCAACAGTGACAATTTATTTTATATAAAAAGCAAAATTTTCCAATATGCAGGCGCATGTGTAACTATTAGTGTTCATCTCTTAGGATTATTAAGTGATTAAAGTTTGAAAATTTTTTTTCAGTAATTACTTATTTCATGAATGCACTGAATAAAAATGACATGCTTCAATATTTTCATCTGTGTTACCAGGTTGCTTCTAAAAATATTTATTATCTGGGAAGTATTGCATGTGTCTGTTCAACATGCACTCCTTCATTCCTATTTCTTTTAATATTAACACTACTGAAATCAATGTTAGTATTTCTTAATGGAGAATCGTTTCTTCCTATGTTACAGGCTGCTCTAATTCATGTAATGGTTCATTAGTGAGTTTGAATTACAGTTCCAGTTTCCTTCCACTGCTCCATCCATTGATACATTATTTTCGTGAAATTTTGCACTTTTTTTTTTTCATGGGATCATTACCATTGGAAGAGGTGGTTGTTTGTTTTCTTTTTGGTTTTGTCTTTGAGATGGTCTGTTCTTATATAGCCCATTCTGGTTTTGAACTCACAATTCCCCTTTCTTAGACTCTTGAGTACTGAGGGTATAGTCTGCACCATCGTAGTGAGCTTGGTATGTCTGGGAGTAATAAATGCAGCTTGTAATCTGTTTTCTGCAATGAAAGTGTGCTGAACTTTAGTGCTTTATTGGTATTCCTGTAGTCTGTCTTTGTAACAAGAATTGTTATGTAAGTTATGTCCAGATCCATGTAAAATAAAAATATACTCCTAAATTCATTTAAATCTACATATTACGCATACAGAGGATACTTGATATTTAAACTCATGTATATTTAGTATTTATCAAAATTTAAAATATGCTTTTTATTATTCTAGAATGATCTTCATAGAGCCATTCAACGAACCCAGTCTGCAATGTTTAATCAAGTTTTGATTTTGATATCTACATTACTATGCCTTATCTTCACTTGGTAAGACCATGTATAGCAGCCCTCTTATTATTTCGTTTTATTTCAGTTTTTATGGGAAATTGTATTATAAATCATTTTCATCAATATTTAGCTAATATAAAGATACGATCACCATAATGCATAAAAAGTCACCTATAGAAGTGAAATAAAATCTTTTTTAATCTTACAGACAAAACAAGTAATCACATGTATCATTTGATCTTGAGATTTACTGCAACTCTGACATTTTCTCGAAAGCTGTCCACACAGTCAAATCACAAGGATTTTGCCTTCATGCTGTGGTTGTGAAACAACCATTTTTTCCTTCAAATTATTGACATATAAGCAGCCACATCTCTCTGTTTCCTTCAGAGCAGAAACTTGGTTGAGGATATTGCCAATACCCATCACTCACCCATGCCACGTCTCTGTCTGTACAATGTTTCAGTGTGGGACCTGGTGGAATGCAGTGGTGGGAGTCTTGCAATGTAAGGCCTGGCACTTTGACTTATTGTGTCCTCAAATTGTTTTCTCTTTTGGAGGTCATACTTAACATTACAGTGTTCCAATGTGACATGGCATATTATGTGTTTGGATTCTGTGTCTCTTTTGCAAGAGAAAATATAGTCAAGATATGAGCAGAATAGTGTTTGCTTTACAGATATTATAGATTTTATTTGTACTTGTCTGTAACATGTTTGACCTATTTAGAATGAGAAAAAATCTAATTCGGAAGTAGGAGCAATCAATGTATACACACACTGGTACATCTGCTAGATGCAAACATTAGTACAGATGTGTGAAGGCAGACTTGGGTATATATAAGCTATTTTGTGCTAATAGTATGTGGTTAATACTAAATATACTTTATGTCTATTGCATTTTTTCTGGGCTTTAAAAGTAACATGATATATTTTATATTTAAACATAAAATTTGTACATAATGTTTTTAACCTTTCACAAAAAATTTACGATACCTCTAATAAATATCTAACTACATAAATAAAATCCACAGAAATGCTAAAAGTAATTCGATCACACAATATTGAAAACTCCATTAAATTAAGTGATTTCTATTGCAATGTCGCTACAAATTCTTATTTGAAATATAATAACATTATATTCAATAACAATTTTACCTTAAGGAATTTACAAAATTAAAACCTCAATGTGTAAATACTAAATTTTCTGATGTTGGATAATTGCTGAGAAAAATAAGATTAATGGTTTCTGGATACAATATAAAATGAATTTAGTGAAGAAATGTTTGTGTCTAGGGATTCTAGCTCCATTATACTGTAGTTGGTGACTGCTTTATGAAGATAAAGATAAAAATATAGTTTGGGGCTATGTAGAAGTATACCTACTATTAATGAACATTTTGTGTTATAATCCTTCTCTGAATACCAAGACCAGAAATACACACTCTTTGTCTTAAATAGTGTAGCTGTAGCAGAAATATAGGTGGGGCTGGAGGGATGGCTCACCGCTTAAGGGTGCTGCTATACCAACACATGCTCCCCATCCCCTGGCAGCTCACAGCCATAAGTAACTCTAGTTCCCCAGAATCTAGCACTTTCTTCTGACCTCCAGGGGCACTGTACACACGTGGTCTATATACACACATGCAGGCCAACACTTATACACATAATTTATTTAAAGTATACTTCTGGTGGTGGTGGTGGTGGTGGTGGTGGTGGTGGTAGTGGTGGTGGTGTGTGTGCATGCATGCGTGCATATTTATTATATTTTATATTACAACTCACAGCTTTAAAGCAGAAAATTTAATACATCTGTTATAATTTGAGCTTTGAACATTCAGGAAGTTATATTTAGATGCACTGGCTATATTCTTAATAAAACTCACATCCTAAAATTACCTGATTTAGAAAGTAGCTATCTAGCTCTAAAACACATGTAGGCATCACAATTATTAACATTACAAAGAACTATTATTAAGCATCTGTCTATGAGGGACACATGCTCAGTGCCAAACTTAAATAAGCATTAAGCTGCTGACCCATTCTTTCCAGAAAATGTGCTGAAATGTTTTTCCTGTCATTGTAACGGAATTGGACTCATCTGTCCACATGCTGGCTCCCTACCCCTCTTCACCAATAATGCTCCCTTCAGAGACAGCTGGCCATTGTGATTCATCCTGCATCTTGGTAACAAAGCAGTTGTAAACTGGTACTTCCGGGAATCAACCGCATGACTTTAGCTCAATTATCAATAAATTCCAACCAATAATAAGTACTATAATTGATAATGCACTTGCCGTTTCTAATTTTACATGGATAGACTTATTTTGCAAGTCCTTGGCCACAAACTTTAATATTTTGTTTGAATTCCTCTGCATATTTATACATTTTCTCATTTTATAGCTGTAACATAAAGATCTGCGCAAATGCATATTTTCTGGTTGTCATCCAACGTGAAAAATTTGATATACTTTCTCAGTCTTTTTTCAGTAGGGAAAAATCCATTTATTTCTAAATGTGATCATGTAGGGCTAATAGCACATGGCCTTTTCTTCTGCACATATAAATGCTTATTTGAGTGATGTCTTCCTAACTTCTTGCGTTTTGCGGCTTTGTTGTTAAATAAGCCCCTGGGAAGTGGACTGGTAGAGCCCGAGTACTGTAGTTCAAGGATATGTTACAACTCGATCCTGAGCTTCGTCACCATCATTCGATCTGCTTTAGTCTTGATATTTCATTTTCTTTTCCTTTATATCATAATCAATGCACAAAGGACATTTGTCTATAAAGCTAACAATTGTCTAACTACTCCTGGGATTATGTTGTGCTAGAAAAATATGGAAAACTTTGCCCCAATTAAATTTTATGTATGTAGCAATCCAGATTTTAGGCATTGTGGTGGTTTGAATGAACATGACCCCCAAAGGGAATGGCACTAGTAGGGGGTGTGGCCTTGTTGGAATGGGTGTGGTTTTGTTAGCGGAAGTTGCGTCACTGTGGAGGTGGACTTTGCGGTCTCATATGTGCTCAAGTCACAGTGCCTGTTGCCTGTGAGTCAAGATGTAAGAACTCTTAGCCCCTTCCTAGCACCATGTCTGCCTGCATGCTGCCTTGTTTCCCACTGGGATGATAACGGACTAAACTTCTGAACTGTAATTGAGCCACAGCAGTTCAATGTGTTCTTTTTTTCAAGAGTTGCTGTTGTCATGGTGTCTCTTCACAGCAGTGGAAATCTAACTAAGACAGACTCCTAATTTTAGGAGTTAGGAAAGTTCACATATGTTTATGATACTATTACAACACATTACTTTAACTATAAAACCTAACTTCTAAATGAAATTCTGATTCAAAGACAGGAGTTTTGAAGTGTGATGACTGTGAATCATTTTTAAACAAACAAATACTGAGAATAATAATTAACATGCCAAAAATTTTAATTTGTCCCCAAATTTTCATGGGCACTATATATAGTAGCACATTTAATCTTTTATGATCTATTGCTAATATTCCATTGCATCATAGTTTTTATGAAGAAATTGAAATACGGAATAATTCAGGAATTTACTAAAAGAAGCAACTATGTTATCCTTTCTGAAATGCTTCTTGATTTACTGTGTGCTGTGTTAAGTCTTCTGTAAGAAAAACAGTCCCTTCAGAGCAATAAGGGTAAATATAGTTATTTGTATTGTCATATGAAAATATAGTTTCTATAACAGTGCCCATAATTTTTTGCTTGTTTGTTTTTATTTTTTAGACAGGATTTCTCTGTGTGACAGGCCTGGCTGTGCTGGAACTCACTTTGTAGACCAGGCAGGTCTTGATCTCTCAGAGATCTGCCTGCCTTTGCCTCAAGAGTGCTGGGATTAAAGGCATGCACCACCACCACCAGTTGGCTGTATCTGTAAATTTTTAAGAAAAATAATTTAGAATCTATAGCTGTCAAACTAAAGCATTATTGAAGTATAGTAATGTTTAGTTTTAGACACATAATATCGCAGAGAATATGGAAAGTAATTGTGATGAAATATGTAACTAAAGAAAGAAAATACAAAATGAAGGCATACAGATTATTTTGAAGACTTTCCTATGTAACGACACATACATTTTCTCCATGTCTGGAAAACCATGGTCTGCCCCTGGAGAAGTGCGCACGGGAGTTCTCCCTAGACAGAGGCAGGTGCTACTTTTCATTTTGTGTGTTTTAGCCTCTTGGTCAGTCAACTTTCTGTCTCTGACACAAAATTTTTTGGGATAGTTAGAAAAAGGAAGATTCCTTTGGATGCACTGCTTCAGAAGTCTTCGCGGGCAGCCCCTTAGCCTTGCTGCTTTTGTCTTGGGGCAGCACAGTGTATCATGGCAGGAGTATATGGAGGAGGGATCCTTTTCACACTATTCAAGTCAGCGTGAAGCGTAAGGTTTAGGAAGGGCCTAAGGTTCCCAATATCTCCTCCTAGACCATGGCCCACTGACCTGAGTTCTATAATCTGCACTTCTCTTACATCCCATCACTTCCCTCTAGCACCATAGACTGAGGACCAAGTCATAAATACATGGACCTTTTATAATCACCTGGAGCTGACTTCTAGATAAGGGAAGCCCCCAGTTAAAGCAGTAATGCAGGAGTGAAGAGAACACTCCAGCCACCATGCTGCAGTGACAGAACCAACCATTTATATAAAATAAGTCAACCAGTACACTCAGAACTGAATCCTTTTAGGCAGTGACACACATTGGCTGTCTTCCTGAAAACAAACACTCTGGGATGAAATCCGGTCAACTAAAAAATAACATTAAGGGAAACAAATGAATTTTTTTTTTTTTATAGAAGAAAGGAGGTAAAAGATGAGTCACATGTAGTGACAAACACTTACCTTTGTTCCCTGAAGACTGAGTTTAGCATTTCCTGGTAAGAATGACAGCTGACATCCAATCTTTGTTGTGTTTTCCACACATCATTCATTAAATATTTAGTTGTACACAGTGGGCTTCGTGTCACATATTTTTATTTTCAATTACAGTAATGAAGCTGAGACAGGAAAT